CCCAAACCATTCTATGATTCTGTGACCTCTGAGCTCAGTGGACTCTGAGTAAATCTTTGTACACCATGTTGTACCTCCACAGTTTGGGTTCATTCATGTCCTGCTTTTGTGGCTGGATCTGTTCAGTTCTTCTTGTTTGGAGTTTGCAGTTGGTTTTCTTCAGAATGTTTCCTCTGATGTAGTTTGCTCTGAGTGTGTCCTGCTCTCTCTCAAGTGTTTCTCTCCTCGTTGCAGACATCCCCAGCCACCTGGATGACCTTCCCCCCACCATGCTGAAGAAGGATTATGCCAATGTCCCAATCGTGGCCAGGTATGAGACAGGGACAGGGAATGGCTGTTCTCTTCAGAGACTAATCACACATAATCACCATGGATGGGAGCTCTCAGCTGCTCAGTAGATAATTATTGTTCTGTGGGCACAAAAAAATCCAAGTCAGCATGAAAGTCAAGTTTCCAGACACAGTCCCTGGTCAGAGCTGTGGGAGCTCTTGGTTCTCCCCATGTCAGATGGAGTCCTGGTTGCCCACGTGTTCTGGGAGCTTTGGAGTCTGTAGGAAAAAAAAGGAGATAACCTGGAAATACTAGAAATAGTCATCTTGGAACTAATCTATGCCTGCCTTGAGCTCAGCTGCTGCTGCACCTCGATCTGGGGCTCAGCATTGTGGTGCTGCTGTGTGTGGTGCAGGGAGGGCCCCCAGCGGCCTGACTGGCACCTTCACTCATCCCTGGAGGAGCCAGTCCTAAAACGAAGTCATTGTGCAGCAAAACCACTCAATGCTTCTGTAATCTGGGCCATGATTTTTCTTAAGGATGCAAAAACCAGTTTGTGGTTGACAGGTCTGGGAGGGGAGGAGAGTCACTGGGGCTTTGTGGAGTAAAACAATGTTGAGATATGACCTGGTTTCTGTTAAATAGACTTGTTTCTAGCTTAGAGCCTAACCTGCCATCTCTTTGCAGTGTGGATGATGTGGTGAAAAGGCTCTTGTCCTTGGAAATGGCAAGTCAGGTCAGTGTCACTCTGCTTGTATGTGAAAATAGGGTATTCAGTGAGCACATTGGTGTGAGACTTGTCTGTGGTGTTAAATAACCTTCACTTACTGCATCTTGGGTGACTACAAATCTGGGTGACTAAATACATGAGAGTGATGAGTCCTTTGTCTGGGTGCCTTTCACCCTCAGTGTTCTGAGGCAGTGACAAGCTCTTTTCTGTGACTGCAGAGGGAGAAGGTGAAGGTAAAGACACAGCAGCTGGTGGAGAAGGTCAGGAGGTCTCCCAACGACAGTGGCTCCTTCGAGGTGCAAGGCAAGTTAAAAAGGAAGGGTATTGTTAGCAGATGAAGCATCTCTGCCTTCATTGAGCTGTTCCCACCCCAGCACTTCCAGGTGCTGTGGGCTGTGAGTGCTGCAGGAGCAGCAGTGCTCAGCTGGCAGCCTGAGGGGAGGCAGATGATCCTGGATCCCCTGGGAAAGCTGCAGCTCTCACACAGCTTCTCCCTCTGTCCTTGACAGTTGCTATTTTGACTGCCAGGATCCGCACGCTCGAGGAGCATCTCCAGAGGCATCCCAAGGTAACTCTGAGCCCATGCACAGCAGCTGCTCAGGTGGTTTTCTCAGTTTAGAACAAAAGGATCTTAGTTCCAGGGATTATGGCTTTCCTAAGGAGGTTTATGAACTAGTTACAGCTGTTCCCTGGTGCCAGTGTGGGGAGCTGCTGGCACAGGCACAGCTGCATTGTCACTGCCTGAACCAGGATTGTGTTCTGTTTGCTGCTGGATGGGAGGAAAGGGCTGAGCAGATTCCTTTGGGCAGTTTAGCTCCATTTACCCTCACTGCAGATGTGGCTTCAGTGCTTGGTGTTCACTGATTAATGGAGCAGTGCAGCAGCTCAGTGATAAACAAAGGGCAAAGCCTCTCCTGATTCTGCTCATGGTGGACAGGACTGTGTGAAGGTCACAACAAACACTTCCCTCCCTGCAGCTACCTGGCCCAAGTTCAGAACATCACAGCTGAGTTTATGAACAAGAGGTATTAAAGATTCTTTATGCAGGGCTGAAGGTGAGAAATGGATTAATAACTGTGTTGGAAGGAAATGCATAACTGTTTGTTGATCATCAAAGCTTGGAGAGTGAAAGAGAACAGAATTCAGCTGTGAGAAGCTGCACTAAGAGTTTCAGCAAAGAGACCTTGGGAATTCCTTGGCTGAAGCCTGTTCTTCACACAAGTGACTCATGTAGGACAGAGAAATGCTTCCATGAGGGATTGCCCTGAGTGGTGTGGCTCAGCTACACGTGTTCCCTTCCAAAGCACAACCAAACAGAGCCAAGTCATGCATTATTTTCCCATTTAATTTCTGGCAGAACAAAGGCAAATGCTCGTGTGTCCCTCATGGAGCAGCACACTGCAGGGGCAGCAGGTCTGAGCCAGGAGACCTTCCCTGCAGCTTTTGCCACTGCCTGAAACTGCACACAAGCTGCAGACAGTCATCAGGGTCAGAGCAGGAAGGTGCAGACACAGAACGGAGAAAGCAATTGCAGTGCAAAGTCAATTCAGCCTTCTTGGATGTCCTTGTGCTGACCTGAGGGACCCACAGTATCTGCCAGGAAGAGCTGTCCTAAGAGTCCTTAGGCTGACTGTTCCAGCCAGATCTGGTGTTCTCCCAGGGCACTGTTGGGAGGCAGAATGCTGCCTGCAGACCCCTGAGCTCTGTGCCCTGTGCAGGACAAGAGCAACCGCCGGCAGATGCTGATGGCCGTGGACCGGCGCAGGAAGCTGCTGAGCTACCTGCGGCGTGTGAGGTACAGCACCTTTGAGAACACCTGCAAACAGCTGGACATCCAGTACAGCCCGCCCCTGGCGTACAGGCGCCGCGTCACCAAGCGCTGGGCCGTCAAGAAGGCTTTCTGCATCAAGGTAGGAGCAGCTGCAGGGAGTCAGAGGATGGTGAGGGTTGGGATGGAGCTTAGAGATCATCTAGTCCAAGTGATGAGCTAACTAGACCATGGTACTGTAGGATGTTAAAGGGTTGGGATGGAACTTAGAGATTATCTAGTCCAACCTATGAGCTAACACCACCAGGTCTAGTAGACCATGGCCTTGTAGTATGTTGAGGGGTTGGGTTGGAGCTTAGAGATCATCTAGTCCAAGCGATGAGCTAACTAGACCAGCCTATCACTCCTATACACCCCAGGGCAGTGACATCTCCCTTTGCTCCCACAGGTGTTCCAGGAGAAGCAGAAGCTGCTAGCACCAGAGAGGCTGAAGCAGAGGAGAGAGTGGCGGGCGAGAGCGAGGG